CACAGGTCGAAATTCAAATAATTTTGGGCTTGTTACGACTTCTGTAGTTGATAATAGTTTATTGCGTAGTCACATGCTAACAAGGTATTAACAAATAATTGAGATGCGGCCAATTCCGTTTGGAAAATTTTGCAATTTTAGTGGATGCCAAGAAAGTTTCGCGTATTTAAAGTGGAACAGAAAGCCATAACGATCGTTTTAATTCGGACAAGTGAATTAATTTCGCCCTGTATAACCAACCTCTATTGCTATAGGAATTCAGCCTATAACTAATTACCTAACTAACTAACTGCCTATTTTAATAAACTAACTGCCTCCGTAGCCGAACGGTTACCATGCCGGTCTGCCACGCAGAGGTCCCAGGTTCGATTCCCGGGCCGGGAGAAATAGTTGTATGGCCTATAATTATTTCTCTCGTGAGTTTGGGTGTAATTTGTGGATGTCTATGTGTGTGTCCATGGCACCCGCGACATAGGGTTTCCCTAGTGCGGGGCTATGTTGAGTGTGAGAGTTATTATTATTATTATTAATTGACAAAGCGATCTCGTTAGAACAAATGATTCTAAATATGTTCCTTCTCTGTGAAAGTCAGATATTGTTAATATCTAATTGATTGTGACTATAGTTATTATCTACCTGTTTCAGATAAAGACATCGAAGCAGAATTAATGAATTAGGGTAAGGTATTGTTAGGAACACAGTTACGCTACCCTTAAACAACTATATAAAATAAGACCCTACTTGAGTACAGATGTAAGATGTTTTATCAATTGTCGATTATTGTGACGTCGTGTATGGTCCCTGTTTACAGAAAAGGGCAGCGAAGAAAATTCAAAGCGTCCAAAACTCATGTATTAGGTTTTGCTATACTGTTCCGCCAAGGTCGCATACTACCCCTTATCTTAATACCTATAATATTCTGAACATAATAATAATAAATATTATACCAAGAGCTCGCTCTCAAGTACGAACTAGTGCAACAGAGGTTGCCATATTACAAGTATTCACCGGAGCCAATACTCGAAGATGACCGCACCAAAATCTATTGGGATCGATCTATTATCACGGACAGGACTATTCTTGCGAATAAGCCTGATATTGTGATATTGGATCGATCGCAGGTATTTCTTGTGGACGTCACCATCCCGCATGACGAGGGTCTCGTGAAAGCCGAAACCGAGAAACGCCGGAAGTATCTCGACCTGGCGCACTAGATCACCGACATGTGGGATGTGGCCTCCACTGAAATAATCCCAATTGTTTTGTCCGCAAATGGGTTAATTCCAGTCAGCCTTTCTAACAGCTTGAGGCGGTTGGATTTCTGTGGCGTGTCGCTTCCAGCACAAATGCAGAAGGCGGTCCTGCTCGATACGGCACGTATTGTTCGCCGATTCTCAGACCTGAGTCCCTGACCCCGGCCGACTGTGCCATTGCCGGGAAATACCGCCTCTCCCATTTAAAAATTCAAAATTAATCTTTTAGGCCTTGGGAGAGGCGAGAGTTTAAAATAAATACAATAATATGTAATAATAATAATAATCTTTATTTCTCTAATATATTATATAATAAATTACGTTTGAAGTGATAGCTGACACCGACACTACATTTTGCCTATTTTGCATGTCTGTCTATAGCTGTTATAGACAGATATGTCACACAAAAAAATCATCTTAAAAATGTCGTATGTCGTCATAAAAAAAGCTATTTCAAAGAACTTTCCACTATTCTTGTACCAAAACGGTAAACGTAACACACACAGCATAACACACTAAAAGTTTATAATAGTGAAAGTATTTATTTTTGTAATAGGCTATTATTAAAAATTACTTTTGCGTGCTTATTGCATACCAAAAAGTAAGATAAAAATAAAATACAATAACAAATGTTACTCGTAAGTGTGTTCCTTCCTCAAAATTCCTTTTGCGAAAACAAGATGCCCCACACACGTTTTTTATTGTTTAAGCCTGAAGAGATTTATATTTAAAAAGGTGTAGAAATTATTTTATGCTTGAGTAATTTATTAGATTTAATTAAAAATATTAGAGTTACATTAAAATAAATATTTTTTGTTTATAATAGATAATAAAATAGTATAGTATCATGAAAAACGTTTATTTGTTGGTGCCGCCAAAAATTATTTGTTCTCGTGTAAGTGAATTATTTATAATTCCTATTGAGAACATTGTTAAGGAACCATTTTGAAAATCAGTGTAAAAATGAAACAAAGATTTAAGAGGTGTCTCTATAGCAAAAGTTATTCCTATTGATGAGTCATATTTAACAGTTACCCTGTAAAATCGAACTCCGTTGACCGAATTTCTCACCACCATAGTCAGCTTAAGTTTCCCATTCCGCAAGAATTTGCATATTGTCCATTCTCTCCAATATTTTACATAACCTTGTGTCTCCCAGGTATCTGAACTTTAACGTTCTTTGGCCCTAGGGTAAACCCTGTCGCTCTCTTGTTAGGTCCCAGTTATCTTTTCCATCCTTCAATTCCGATTTCTATTTTCACTCCTTCATTGTTCGTGCGTTCAGACTTTGGAACGCACTTCCTATTACTGTTCGCGAATGAAAATCGTTAGCTATTTGCAAAATTTAGTTATTTAGTTAACGAGCGTCTACCAAGGTTACTAAAAGTTATTTTCGTTACTGTTATTTGTATAGATCAATATTTTCTTGTCCATAGCCTACAAATGCAGAGAAGTGTGGTCAAGTCTGGAGTTGGAGCGAGCCTTCAATCTGGGCTTGGACGGCGCATTACTACTGGTGCCATTCTTCATTATGTCGTTTGCTTACTGCCTAATCGTTACTAAACTGTGGAGAGGCATGCGTCATGAGATTCAACATAACTTCAATACACAGCAACGTAAGTATGAGCATATCAAACTTAAAAGTTTACATCGTCATCCTATCTAGAGCCAGGTTCTTGTAGTTGTGTAGCCTCGTTCATTCCTCACGGTCCATAGCCAGTACCTCAGGTCTTTATAACTGCTTATTTCTTTATTTGTTTATTGTATGTTATATTTTATTTTTTTCTCTCTCCTTTTTATTCTATCGTCCTCTCAATTATAACTTTCATAGATTTTATCACTCCGTAAAATATGTCCAAACATTTTCCCTCTTCTGTTCTATTGTCTTTAGGATTTTTTTCTCTTCCCCAACTCTTTTTAAAAGTTTACATTAAATCCTTATTTCTCTGCAATAGAACTGAGATTTTCAATGTTCAACAAAAACGTAAACTACTACAGACAAGAACATTTTTAGAAACTCTACGAGTATGTTCCCAAGCGTGCTAACGCCATCTGGTACATTTGCATAAAACTATTCGAATTTTGTCAAAGAGTATCACTAACGGTGGACAGACGCGACAGTTTAGCTACCCGTTGGGAATGACCTAGGCAGATAATATTGAGTGTTTACCAGTGATATTTATCTTAGTTGGGGAATTAACGGAAAGCCCTTATCAAGTCGTTATTAGTTGCACAATACTTTTCATTTTGCTTTGACCCATCAGCCAGTATCTAATAAAAATAGCAAACTGAAAACCACGAATGTCACTATCGGTGATGTGTTTAGTTCTCAGTGAATTCACACACACAAACACACACACACACACACACACACATATATATATATATATATATATATATATTATAATATATTATTAAGATTTTTGGTTTTTATCTCCTAAACAATATTTCATTCACTTTTTTCCCTATATACTTCTATAATTTCTTTATTATCAAGTTCTTGATTTTTTTAAATAAATACCTATAAATAATGAAAAACCTACCGAGACCTTTCGAGTAAGTCCGATCCTCTGAGACAACACTATTTTTATTTCATCAAAACTAACTACACTCAAAACTCCAGATTACTTCTGATTAACATTCTGACTATACATAGTGTCCTATTTTATCTACCTGAATTGTAGTCAAAGGCTTGACAGATGAGCCACGTTTATATGCTACGTCGTTAAGCTACGATGGTTCTACGCAATATTACACGTCTACGCGCAGTCAATCAAGCAGTAATAATAATTATAATGAAGTAATTATTTGAAGGTGGCATTCACATTCGTTATTAGGCGTTTGTTGTTCTCGGTAAAATATTTGGCGTACAGGCAAACACGTGCAAATACCGTCTTCATATTAATCAAATAACAAATACACAAATATTTTGCATTAAGGTAAAATACTGTGCACTTTTGAAATAATTGATATAGCTGTTGTATGAACCTATTTCACCCTTTATGATTCTTTTTTTTATTTTGGCACAGTTACAAAATATAAATTATATAATACAAGTAAAACTTCATAGTTTTACTTGTATTATATAAGTATATATAAGTTAGTGTCATCACTAACCACAAACAAACAAATTTGTAGCACAATAACAACCGCGCACAATATGCAAATAACATTTTGCACCTTAATGAATATGGCTTACTAAGTCAATAGAAAATGTGTATACTTTAAATGAAATTATTTCACTCTGTGATGGGTTCACGCGCTTCCTTACAGTCAGGGCTTTTTATAATTTTTACAAATGTGTTGGTGCTCTGGTGGAATACATCAATACCTTTACACAAAACATTATACTGCCTGCATAAACGTATGAGAGGGTTGTTATTTGACACATTATTTTTAGCAGAAGGCACCAAAAACAATTGTTGCCTTCGGTTAGATCAATTAGTGGTCATCAGCGAAACATAGCTTATGATATCAGTATTATATACGCTATGATATCAGTATTCCTTTATTGTGCGTCGCAAAACCGACAGCGCGCGAAATTTTAGTGGTTGTATTTGTCAAATACGCAAATATTTGTCACACATGCGATCTATACACATGGCCATAGTTTGCCAAATATACCACCTAGGAAATGCCCTGTGAAGTGCCATTTAGGCTTTGCTGGTTGTCATTATAATTTATACTCCTTTGCAGTGACACAACACGCCAGTTGCAAGAGTAACCATTTGCTGCCTACAACTCCTATTTTACAAAACAATTCAACCGAAATTTGCCTCAAGAACACCTGGCCTACTAAAAAATGTATTAAGGTAAGAGTTTAATAATAATAATAATAACGCACACACTCAACATAGCCCCGCACTAGGGAAACCCTGTATCGCGGGTGCCATGGACACACACATAGACAACCACAAACCACACCCAAACTCACGAGAGAAATAAATGTAGGCCATACAAATATTTCTCCCGGCACGGGAATCGAATCCGGGACCTCTTGCGTGGCAGTCCAGCATGTTAACCGTTCGACCACGGAGGCAGATAATTTAATATTGTAAAGCCGCATAATTAGCAAGCAAAAGATACAATGGTGAAATTACAGGCACAAGCGACTTGTCAACTTATGTCTCAGGGCGACGGGCGCAGAGGCAGTGCCCCTCAGATCTTTGCGTTTTAAAGCTCTGAGTGGCACTGATATTGTTATGGATAGGCGTGTAGCTTATCATCAGGCGGACGATTTGTTCGTCCCGTCTCTTGATATTATAAAAAAAAAGATACTTCTGCCTTTTTTTTCAATCTACAAGGCGTCATTGCAGAGCAAAGCCTCTTTAATCTATGTCAGCCTCCTGCTGCTCCTGGCTTTCTTGCGGTAGGCATTCAAATATTCTTAGTATCTTTACTTTCCGGATGTTCGTTAATCCTATTTTTATCCGACTGCGTCAGAAGGAAGGTTATTTTTTTACTATATTTCCGAACAGGATTTACAATCGTAAACGAATTCTTTTTTTTATACATCTTAAGTAAATTCACGTCTAATTTATTGGTACTAGTAGTTATCTAATAATGACGTCATTAACGGATTTTACATTTAGAATACATAATAATACACATACTATTTTTACTAACAATAATAAAATGTGTTGATCCACATACTTTACTTTTACAAACACTTCACGCCCTTTTCCTTTCACGATCCTGATGCACATCGTTCGCCATATCAACACGAATCCATGTTTTCGTACATGCACGTCCTTAATTTGGTCATAACTAATAAATTTGGCCTGACCTTTTTAGTAGCAGTAGAGCTCCTTGTGAAAGGGTTCGTCCAGGGAAGTACTGCCACCATACCTATTTCTGCCGCCAAGCTGTAATGTCAGCATTACTGTGTTCCGGTTTTGAAGGGTAAGGGTGCTGGTGAAATTACTGGCACATGGGACTTGTCAACGTATGTCTCAGGGTGACGGACGCAGTATCAGTGCCCCACAGATCTATGCGATTTAAAGATCTGAGGGGCACTGCAATTGTTATGGACAAGCGTGTGGCTATAAATTTACATAAGTAATCCTCACATCCGGATTGAATGTCGTTATTTGACAATAACATCAGTTAATTGGTGGTTTCTTGCGAGCACCTAGATAATGTTTCAATTAGCACCATCCGTTCTCGGAACTACATTCTATTTGTAAGGATTAAGGGCTGTAAGACTGGAGCAGTCGTACCGCCTGAATCTATTGTGAGCATAGATACCCTAAATTTAACTTGTCTGTTGTAGTCAATAGCACATCAAGCTACACATTGACGTATCTTGTTCCGTTACACTAAAGGCGATTTTGGAACAAAACGGTGTAGTCTGATGCGCTGTTTTCCGTACAGCGAACTAGAGAATTTCAGTCCTTAACAATCTGGAAAGTGGTTTTATGACGTTATAAGTTATTACGCTTGCTTTAGACACTAATAACCCCTCTGTTCCAATTTAGATTCATAAAGGCTTTGACAGTCTGGCCATTTGGTTATAGGTAACCTACCAGTGGCAAGGCGTTCATATAACTCGATTCCCACCTTCTTGCCTAACATTTTCCACGTATTATCAAAACACTGTACGAGACAGCGCGTATACCCCACTACTTGAAAATTTTACTCAAAATATTCATTAATAAACGTGTAGTAAGTGACCTGTCCTTGATAATACGGAATTACTTCCCTTTCCGATGGATCTTATTAACCAATCACAGCCCGAGTTAAGCCGCAGATTTTTGGCTTTCATTTCATTCATAAAACCTACGCGCATCATCAAAATTCACGCACACATTCGCAAAAGTCCGCTATCATACATTGGTAGAAATGGCTCACCGGTAACCCGCTAATGATGGAGTTATGATCAAATATAGACTTAAATTGAAAACTTATAGCTATAGACTGAATGTTGATTTTTAAATACCCGTACTAACTTGCCTCCAATATGTTTTTTACGAAAGATTGTTGACAAGAGCAAAACTTTTTTTACTATGGAACAACCATCCGCTTTTATAATTGTACGGTGGAGGGTAATTTGCACTTTTTATAATAAACCAGTCAACTGCTAACTCCCGTGTTTCATTGACGTGTTGCACTGGCGCTGAGGATAGGATTATTACCATAGATTTTTTTTTCTCTCTTGTAACCGCGTGTGCCTAATATTGTTTTTAAAATGCCTATCAGGAAAATTGAACCGTTTAATAATAGGGGTTAAAGTATGAAATTGCCGATTTGTACTGAAAATCTAAATTGTTTATTTTTTAAATTTTTAACAAATTTATTTAATCAAAATAGTTGCCATTATTATCTATACATTGCTGCCATCTAATGGGAAGGTTATTAATGCCTTTGCGATAGAACTCCGACGATCTAGACTGCACAAACTGTGTGAAAGCATTTTGTACTGCCTCCTGGGAAGAAAACTTCTTGTCACGTAGATAATTGTCCAAATCACGAAAAAAATGGTAGTCCGTTGGAGCAAGGTCTGGTGAATACGGAGGATGACGAATGGTTTCTAACTGCAGTTCCTGAAGGGTCAAAATGGTTTCTCGTGCTGTGTGAGGTCTCGCGTTGTCGTGGAGCAATAATGGTGAAGATCGATTCATGAGTCGGGGCTGTTTTACTGCTAGTTTTGTCAACATGGTTCGGAGTTCGGCACAATAGACATCTGCCGTTATTGCTTGACCAGATCGGAGAAAACTATAGTGAATAACACCATGCTGAGACCACCAAACAGTTACCATTACCTTTTTATTGGTAAGTTTTGCTTTAGGACACTGTTGTGGCATTTGACCTGGGGTCAGCCATTGCATTTTTCTTTTCCGGTTATCATAAAGAATCCACTTTTCATCACATGTTACAATTCGATCCAATATTCCTTCATTTCTGTACCGGTTCAACAAGGCAACACAAGTTTCAACACGCGTTTCTTTCTGCAGATCAGTCAAATCATGAGGCACCCATTTTTCGTATTTTTTTATTTTATTGATTTGACGCAAGTGAGTCAATATTGTGGGTAAGGTAACGTTAAACCATGCCGCTAATTCCTGGGTAGTTTGACTAGGATCGGCTTCCACTATCTCTCTTAATTCATCGTTACTCACCCGTGTGGGCGGTCTTCCTCGTGGCTCGTTCCTTAAGTCGAAATTTCCATCACGAAAGCGTTTAAAACAAAATCGCACAGTGCGTTCATTAGTAGACCCCTCTCCAAACGCAGCATTGATATTGCGGGCTGTTTCTGCCGCGTTAGTTCCGCGTCGGAACTCGTATTCAAAAATCACTCGAATTTTCGCAGTATCCATCTTTCTTGTCTAAATTGAATAACAAAAACAATTGAAAGTCGATATTCAAATGTTTCAAATTTAAAAAAAAAAATCACAGAAACCATTTGAAAAAAGTTTCATTCGAAAACCTCAAACCATGAAGATTCTATGAAAATTCAAAGAACCTATTGCAATAAAACGGCAATTTCATACTTTAACCCCTAATATTAACTTAAAACAGTGGCCAGCTTATATCAATATATTTTACTTAACGAAATAAAAGACGATTTGAAAGTGCCTATGCTTATAACGGTAGTTGGTGATGCAACGTATTCCCTTATGTGCGATTTGTTTTTGCCGGACTCACCGGAAAATAAAACATACGATGAATTGGTGACCTTGGTAAAGGAACATCTAGAACCGCAGCGTTCGAGATAGCGGCACATTTTTAGATTACGTCGGCAGCGCCCTGATGAGACACTTATGGAATACCTACAAGTATTAAAACATCTCGCGGCTACCTGCAACTTTGCCAAATGTAAAACCTGTTCAACTCTCGAAGAAAATCTAAGAGATCAGTTTGTGTCGGGACTGGCAAACGACGCCATGCGATGAAGGATTTTCGCTGAGAAGAAGATACAGTTCAAGGACGCTGTGGAGTTAGCGCTGGCTCTGGAGGCCGCAGAGAAGCACGCAGAGGTGAGCGGCAGTACCGTGCCCACGGGAGTCTCGGGTGCGGGCGGCGGAGAGGCGAGCGAAGGCCTGCACTACATAAATTTACATACGTTACATAAATTTAGTTGAAGATATTTAACCTATTAATTTTAAAGATATTGCTAAAGAAACGAAAAAACAATTCGGTTGGCCGTCGGGCACGAGTTGCGATGACGAAAACCATACTTCATAAGAAAGCAGGAATTATTTATAGAATTAGGCTGTATAATTTATAAATATAGGATAGTGGTACCGACCACCCTTCGGAAACAAATCTTAGCTGAGATCCACGAAGGACACTTCGGCGTTAGTAAAATGAAAAGTCTATCTCGAAATTACGTTTATTGGCCAAGTCTGGACAGAGATTTGGAAGAGTTATGTCGGACTTGTGAAGCTTGCCGCGCGGCGGCAAAGAATTAGAAGAAGAAGAATTAGAAGTCTTGTCCCCCATCTTGTATTCAGATATACATGCCATTTCCTTATGGTTTACCAAAAATACATTTTTGAAATTTGTTGTCAACCATCTTGGATTTAGAAATTAATGCTACATTCGTAATAAGCACTCTAAAACTCCTCGAAAACGTCTATAATTCTCAATCGTTACTGTCGATCGACAATGTCGAGCAAATCTGTAGGCACCATATTAAATACTACCCAATTCTTATTTAACTCATATACGAACAAAAACCTACAAGCGAGTTTAAGTGCGACTATCGAATTTGAATATATAAATAGCCTGATATTATCTGTGGGTATGTTTACATGAAAAGTACACGATAACAATTAAGAACCTGAACCTGAAAGTTATTTATACACGATTTTGGAGAACTGACGATGACTTTTTAGTCAGAGTTAGTTTCCTGAAATAATTTTAGTTAAGAACTTTTAAGTCTGGGCAAGACAATTTTTTTAAATGAGTGTATGATGAACAAGAATAATGATTTTTCACATGAAACTAATGAAGGCAAATACTAAATATATTTCATAAAAATACCTAACGTACATTCCCTATAATGTTGTTGCGGCGGTGTACATTTGTAGAAATTTTGCAACCGTCGCGATATTGCCTATTCTCAAAAAATTACGTAATATAATTATTTTGAAACAGAATAGCAAAATGGGGAGAAAAAACCCGTTACTTTGCAACATTCTCGTATCTTGTTGCAACGAAATTAATTTTCTGTTTTAGTGAATATTTATATAAAAATACAAGTTGATACGCGTTATTTCCTTGTGGAATGTGATGTTAGTGTCTATTTTATATTTGTCTGATCTATTTTTAAACCTAATTACCGCAGATTTCGTCATTTTTAGCAAAAATTTTTGAGCTGCTCGCGGTGCAACTTGACCTTGAGCACTGACAGCCCGCTCGCTCGTGTAAGCCCATAGGGCGTCCAACAATTTGCCTCACTTAGCGTGTGCGGGCTAGGTTTCTATGCGTTATTATTCTAAGTGTATTTTATGTTTGCTAGACTTAGGAAAGTACTTTAGCTTTAGATGGGGAGAAGATGGAACAACCATCGGCTTTTATAATTGTACGGTGGAGGGTAATTTGCACTTTTTATAATAAACCAGTCAACTGCTAACTCCCGTGTTTCATTGACGTGTTGCAGTACAAACATTATAACAACATATTTATTAAAAAAGGTCTATTCGTATTTTCTAAATATTGAACGATCAATAGTGTTGCAAAAATGTTTGTTTAGGCGTATTATTTTACAGTTTATAATAATAGCTTACGTAAATAAAAGAGAAGCTCGTGTTGATTAGCAGTTGCAATTAAAAAGTAAAGTGGCAACAATTGCATTCACTCCCGATACGAAAGTTTGTTTACAAATAATTAATTAATATAAATAAACTAATAAAGTAACACATTTTGTATTTAGCGTTATGTAACTAGGGAAATTAACTTTATTGGTATACTAATAAGTGTTGTTTTAAGTTTCGCCAAGGCGTCTTTTCAAGGTTTTTTTAACAGGTACATTTTTTGTTTTTTTTCTGTACAACAACAACGACAACGACATTGCTAATGATAATGATAATAATTACGCACACACTCAACAAAGCCCCACACTAGGGAAACCCTGTGTCGCGGGTGCCATGGATACACACATAGATAACCACAAATTACACCCAAACGGCAACTTTGCGGCGGTGTTCAAGGTTCTGCAGCTTCGCCTTCACCAATTCTGAGTCACCTTTAAACTGCCTCCGTAGCCGCACGGTTCGCATGCTGAACTGCCACGCAGAGGACCCGGGTTCGATTCCCGGGCCGAAAGAAATATTTGTATGACCTACATTTATTTCTCTCGTGAGTTTGAGGTGTAATTTGTGGTTGTCTGTGTGTGTCCATGGCACCTGCGATACAGGGTTTCCCTAGAGCGGGGCTGTGAGTGTGCGCATTATTATTGTTATTGTTAAGACTTTTATATAAAAATAATATTGAATTAATTATGAATGAATTAAATTATTTCAGTAGTTTGTTTTGATACGCTGTATACAAATAATGTGACCTAAATTTTGGTTTCTATCTAAATCCAAGACATTAATTTGTGAGAATATTGTGTCGGTGTAAATTCGCCGTTGCTTTCACGGTACAGTTAAGCTGGTAAATAGTGGACGTATTAGGAAAGCTTAAATTCATATACAGAGTGTTTTTTAATGGGACAGTACGGGGAAATCTGTAACCATAGAAGATACAAGGAGATCATTTACCAGGAACCATTAAACATTGTTTTGTGAAAACAATTTTGGCATAGTAAATTTTTTGGTCATTCGTGAGTTTCCATAATAGTGAATAAAATTGATCAAAATTATTTTTAGTGCTGATCTACTCAATTTTCCGAAGTGTTTATTTCATTGTATGGAACGAAACAAAATCTAGACATCAGTAGTTGATTAAAAGTAAAACGATTTTTCACATAAAATGAATAGAATTGTCATTTTTTTTAATGCTTCTTATAAGGTTGATTTTATAGCACTGGAAGAAAAGAATCGGGACAGCAGAAGTTGTTCAAATTTAATAAAATGTTATTCATTATATATGAAAATGTTTTTTAATTCAAATTTAGAATAACTTCTGCTGTACCAATATTTTTCTTCCGATACAATGAACTCATCCTTATAAGAGTTAAGACAGTTCTATCAGTATAAAAAAATTGTCAATTTTATTCATTTTATATGAAAAATGATTTTATTAAATTTGATTGACTTTTGCTGTCCATGATCCCTTCGTGAAACCGAGTCGATCAGCACTAACAAAAATTGATCAAGTATTCATTTTTATGGACAAATCACGCTTGACCAAGAAATTGACTATGCAAAAATTGTTTTCACAAAAAAGACTTAATCGTTTCTAAGACAGTTTCCTTGTATCTTATATGGTTTTGGATTTCCCTATACTGTCCCATTAAAAAAAACACACTGTATACTAATTTATACTTTTTCATAGAAAATGGCGTCCTAACGACAGCCTTAGTGTTGCCTCGTACAAATGAGACCGCATAAACAAAAATATAATTTAAAAAGTAGTCTGGACAAAACCGAAGTGTTGAATATGCTTTTTAAACACTAACCTAGTGTAATTAATGCAATAAGTATTATAGCAGTGACGAAAAACAGTAATAATGCCTATCGTCAATTAGCTAAAAAACCAGTTCACTAATTAGTCCCAAGCTGGGCGCCATTTTCGTTCCAAGTTTAAGATATGTTTTCATTTCGTGAAGTATAAAACAGATTTGTTGTAGCGGACTATATTTTTTCCTAATATTTTTAAACAAGCGATATGACGGCATTTGTTGGTAGTGATATTGGTTTCATTGAATACATAATATCTAAGCACAAGAACTTAGTACCATATATAACGCTTGTGATCCTTCCTGTTTCCATCATTGAAAGGTCGTGTTCAGTGGCATTGAAAGCTCACAAGGGAAGTACTCGTATATTAATAAACCTTTAAGATTACACCCCGAACATATTTATTTGTATAAATGAAATTGTATTGTATTGTATTGTATTGTGTAAATGAAAGGGATAAAAAATTATTATTTATGAATTACTTCTATATAATAATATGTAACAGCTCCTCTGTGTTATCGCACTAAGCTTGACAGGGTTTGGATTTCTTTTAAATTTAAAATTGACTATAAGCAAATTTTGAATGCTATATTATTATATAAAATAAAGATACTACCTTAAACATTGAGTATATAACCAGAAATAGAGACGAAATAAGGGTCATCTATCCCTGGCAACTTATCAGGCAAATGGGTCCTACATCACTTTTAAATGTCAACTCTCGTTTGCACTGAAATCAAAAATTAGTACAGCGCCGACAACTGACCTGTGTGTACGTCTCCTTATATTCAAAAAATATTATGTATTTATTGTAATAAAGATAATATATCTAACTATGGAGGTTTGTTCCATTCGATGATGTGGGAAAACAGCAAAACATCTTATTACAAAACAAACGGAATCACATTTCATCGGTAATTAAATCTAAAAGCTCAAGTTGAATTGCTCGATTTGAAGTGAAACAATTGACGACACACGTCATTTGTTTCGAATTTGGGCTGGCCAATCTGGGCGCAGTTGTCACCGTAATGATTTGGCAGAATAGTTTTCAAACAAATTAAATGACATTTCGTCTCTATTTCTGGTTATATACTCGATGACCTTAAACTGTCTTGTTTATTTTACTCGAAACATAAATAAAGCTCTTTGTCATAAGCAAGACCCTAAATGAGTAATACATTTTCTTTTTGTTTAGATGGACTCAGAGCACAGGGTGGACGATAAGAATCCACAGAGTTACTGTCCACACTCGGACATCGAGTTTCGACATGTCGTCCGATCAACTCACATCGACAAGAGCATCGAAGCTAAACGAAAAGTAAGTCACTTTACAAGTTGTAACAAAGAGATGCAATCATATTCCAACTGGTATGTATTCTTTTTTATTTTAGAAATAGATGTACGCTTGCCTATCTTGCCTGATGTTAAGTAGCGATATGTAAGTCTATATCATACCTTCTCAGTCCAAACTTGAAAAGCTTCAAATTGTAGTTTTCGATGTCGGTAGTGTATTCCTTTGCCGTATGCATTAAGAAGGAGGTAGCAAAGTGCTTCGTGCGAAGCGATGGTATATCAAATACAGGGTAACAAAAAAAAACACTCATAAAGTCTTCGAGATTCGTGACTACTTCAACCAGGTTAGTGACTAGGAGCAGAACGTACCCGGTACACGATGGGAACAACAAAAAAGCGAGCGCCGGGTTCGCAAACCTCAAATGTACTAACCGCGCCATAGTAAGTAAGTAGGTGTAGTAAGAATACAGCTGACATTTTCAAAAGTCAATTACTTTTTTAGTGTTTAACAAGTGGTGGATATGAAGAGAGCAATATGCATAGAATAGACGAAGCGTTTTAAACAAATTGACCTGAATAATCATCCACCGCAATTATAGCAGTACTGACGTTACTCTAATTGTCACCTCTAGTATTGGTCATTAGTAAAATGTAACGAGCCATTCATATAGAGGGCATTCTCGACTTATCGTCGTGCGAACCATTTTGGGTCGCGTGAGCCTAACTTATAGTACAGGTATACGAGCCCATTCATATTATAGTTATATCGCGTGTAAACGCAAACACACATACACGCACACACGCACGTGAGTCGTCGCTGGCTATATGCGATTTACTTCCAAAGTAGTTTCATATTCAACTTGTAGCTATTGTGAAAACCTAAGAACTTGATATATCCCGTATATTACTACTACACTTATGTGTCATTAATTAATTAATTTATTTATTTATTTATTTTTATTCTTTACAAAAAAAACTGCCAACACAGGATTCCTTAAAATGTTTGATAGTGTTGATATTTGAAATCTCTTTATTGAAACGTGAAATCGTCAAAGAATAAATTATCGTCTTAAATATTGTTAATCTTCTTATTTACCAGTTAGGTTCGGGGGAGTAATTGCCAACCATCTGGCTCGGTAGCTATCCGGACTGCCACGCAGTTGTTCCGGGTTCGATTCCCGTGCCGGTAGAAATATTAGTATTGTCTAATTTAAAAAAAATAAAATATAACTGCTCATTTGACCTCCATCTCACCTGATGGAAAGTGATGATGAGGTCGACAATGGAGCATGCACACCTAAATAATGCCTATTAACTCTCGCCTTGAAAAAGTGAAAAAAGAAAAAGTTATAAAACATTAAAACAATTTAAAAAGGTATAACGTTCAGGGAACAAGTCCGCAGGCAGGGAATACCACTCCATAGCCGTTCGCCACATACAGTACATTTATTTCTCTCGTGAGTTTGGGTGTAATTTCTGGTTGTCTAAATGTGTGTCCATGGCACCTAGGGTTTCCCTGGTGCGGGGCTATGAGTGTGTGCGTGTTGCGCGCGTTAATCTCTGTCCAGCCGGCGTCCTAAGATTCTGGTATGACACGATATGAACTTTTTCACTTACTTGATATAAATCACTTGGTCTAGGTCTTCTTTAGATCCTCCCTTCTTTAATGCTTCACAAAAAACAGACAAGTCGTATCAGAAAAATACCTTTTCTTTTCAATTCTTATTGGCTTTAACCAGCTTCTCTTTTCAAAACTATTCTTAACACCTCCTTCATTGGTTTTTCTTTCTTTCAGGTTCCCTCCATTCTTGTCCCTCACGACATTAATGGTCTCATTAATATTCGTAGCAAATGGAAAACCAGTCATATGTTCTTGTAAATTTACTATGTCGGTATTGCGGTTACAAGCATTTGATTTAATCAGAGTTCTTCTCGGCCCACATATATAAGAAATGAGAAAAATCATTTAGAGAATTGACCTTTAACATTATCACGCCTACACGTTTTCTTGCCCTGGCATAATACTGCTACTTTTTAAGAATATTGAAACAAACCAAAATAATTCATATTTTTCCTTATTATAAAACTGTATTCGGAATGAGTTCAATTTTATTGTGGATATGATACCGTGTTTATTATCGCATCATCTGTAATAATTAATGTGAATTACCTGTTTAGCTTGAATTATCTTAAGTTGAATAAACGTTTCTTTCATCTTTTCTTTCATTATATATATGACTCGTCGCAAACCCTCGAAGCAAAAAGTGGGAAAGTTACAACCTGGAGCCTTTATCTGTGAATATGTGTCTATCTGTGGCATCGTAGCTTCCGAACTACTGAATTGATCTTAAAGGGTTGTTTATTTAAATCGGGATAGTTCTTAGTTATATTTACTTGCTGTGAACTAGGTTTAAGTTAACGTAAATAAACACTTTTTATTTCATTTCTTTTATATCATAAACATCTGTTGAGATGTTTAAGGCTCATCAGCTCTTTTTACAGTTAGTGTAGGGATCTCAGTCATTAAATGGATATTTATTTTATTTCCACTCTCCCAGTCGATTTAGAACTCTGTACATTACAATAATATGGTAATTTTTACCTGGTGCTGTAATTAGGATAGTCTGCACAATACCAAACTCGTCAAATACTCATATCAGAACAATTGTATTTGGGTTTATTAAATCAATTAAAAAAAAACATTTATTGCAGACAATTTACAGTCCATTTTCTTACTACACTTACAAATTGTATATATTGTCTTATTCTGTTGTTCGTACAAAAAATATTGCTTATTGGCACCACACCCAGCCAGAGTAAATCTGACCCGGACATGCCGGATATACCAGGGCTCAGTTTAAGAGAATGACAGCCTGGGATTATGAAGGGGAAAACCAATGCAGCTGCAGCCGAAGGCCAGGTTCCTGCCGGCTATACAGGGAGTGACTGAAGTACAAAAATTTTAGATAAAATCAAAATAAAATTAAATTAATGAAGGGTCAGATACTACATGACTAAATCACCGAGCTCCCAGGACGTGAAGTTCCGTGAAAACCTAGCTATCGCCTGTCATTTTGAGCTGTCTGTATAGGGGTTTCTAAATTGGTCTCGATTAGTAGTTGGTGTACTACAGATGGTGACTTTTGATGGTGTGGACTGAGGGTATATAGTTTTGAATCAAGGATTTTTCTAATTTGAATTTAATCAACTTACAATCTAACTTCTTTATTATTAGATGTTTTTGAGATAGGCCACTATTTACATTAATGCTTTAGATGTATCATATTGCTGCTTTAATAATACTGGCGCAAACGAAAATAGTTAAGTTTTTAACTTAGTAAACAGATTAGTGAATATAGTAAACAGAGAACTGAATAAGATACCGAGTTTTACATTGGTTAAAACAATCACGTGATGACAATAGTCTGTTGTGGGATTCGTTCGGCTCACATTTTTTAATCCATCTTCCTGATTAATAAACCGCGCGCTTTATCCAATAAAGCAGTATTGCAAAATAAAACGATTTTGAACTAAGAATACATGCAAACGAAACTTTGTCGTGAATGAAGCACCCATATTCTCTGCGTTATTGTATAAAGCCAGCGAGATGTTTTTGAGATAAACTGCTATTTTTTATAATCTCAGTACAGAGTACTAAAAAAACCGACCTCAAAAGTACGTGGAATTAGGTCTATTTGCTAAGTTTTATTGAAATATCCCCTAGTTCGCCACTATACAGGACTTGACACTGGAGTTAAAAAAATCGGTTCTCACTACTCAAGGTATATTGAGAGAAAAACGGCTTGAATTGGAGAAATAGCAAACCATTAAAGTAGTTGCTCCTAAATTAAAGTTAGGTGCTATTTATAAAAAAGAATCTTCTTGCGTGAACAGCCACCCTTCGAGGTGGATAATTTTCTTCAAAATGAAATGGGACCACTATGGAAGTACCCCCTTTCCAACAAAAGAAGAATCATGAAAATCGGTTCACAAATACCGGAGTTATCGCGTAACACACACACAAAAAAAAGAACATACAGTCGAATTGAGAACCTCCTCCTTTTTGAGGTCGGTTAATTTTTTTATAAATAAGTCACAATTTTGACTATTTTAGTTTGCGCCACAATTCTTGTAAAGCATTCTTGATAATGAAAAACAAATTCTTAAATGGTAAAGTTCACAGTACCTGAAATTGTACTAAATCATTCACAAATTTTAAATTTCAGCGTACGGCCGTGATTAGTTTGTTTATATACCAGACGACATCCTGTAACACCAACCTATCCTACCAGGAATCGAACCCGGAATTTCCCTATAGAACGTCCTCGGTAAAAACCGTTGGCCACCGAAGTCGTCATTTTAAAAATTTTTAATTAACGGTACAAACACAAAAGCTAGTCATTGCTGGTGCATAGCTTCTGCCATGTTAAATATGCAAAAACAAAAGGAAGTATACCTAATCGAAACCCATAATTGTCGGTTTAAATTTTTTCTTTGATAATGTCACCATTTAGAAGCGACTATAACAAAAAGAATTATATATTATATATATAAATTATATAAATTATATATTATATTTCTGTTGTTTTTTTATTAATTCTTTCCGTCGTCGTTCAGTTTTTGCTGAGAACAGTCGTATCTAGTACAGTGTGCGTAAAGTGCTTATACTGCGTGTTGTCGCACACCGACCGAGTCAAGGACGGTCGTTGATATGCAAAAGCAAATTAATACTCTTCGAGATGAATTGAACAATGTCTTGGAACAGAAAAACCATGAAATCAAGCTACTCACCACTGCTATGGAAACTAACCAGAGCCCTCAAACCCGAGTTGTAGAATACCGCACGGATGAAGAAAAGCTAGCAAAAGAAATATCGCCAAGTGTACCACATTCAGAAAAAAAACGTTAATGAAGAGAATACCATCGCGGCAGTATAAAAGCAGAAGCCCAAAAAAGTTATACTGCCACCTCCAATCATTGTGGATGAAGTACAAGACTACCAAACTTTCTTCGACTTTTTGTCTGAAAACCAACAAGTTGACTCATTTATTATAAAATTTATGAGCAATAACTGCGTAAAAATAACCGCAAAGAATGAAGAGTCGTCCTAAGTGCTCAGAATTTTCTTTGGCACTCATATAAAAATGAAAAAGAAAGGCCTATTAGAGTGATGGTAAAAAAGTTGCCATCCTCGTGTAAAGTGGAACGAATAGTCGAAGACCTCTTAAACAAAGGCTATAAAATCTTAGAAGCTGTCAATAAATTAAGATGGAAAAACAAGCAGCCTTTAGATATGTTCATATTAAACCTTTACGAAGGATGAGGATTTCAACAAAATCTACCACATGAGATCTATTAAGGGATGTAAAGTCGAAATTCAACCTCGAAAAGAACTTCGAAGCTTGTGCCTCAATGCAAGCAATTCAAGCGTAAGGTCACATTAAAAAATACTGTTCTAAAGAACGCGCGAAATGCGTGAAATGTATAGGAAAGCATCTTACTACAGATTGTAAAAAGCCATCAAATGAAAAGCCCAAATGCGTACATTGTGGAGAATTACACCCAGCTAACTATCGGGGATGTATAGTCGCCAGAGAAATACAGAAACTGAAGACGAAATATGCCAAAAAGACAAACAGTCGGCAACACGATGACGCTGCCATAAAGGCAACTAAGTCAATGCCAAAAGTGACGAAACCTGCACCACACCCGCAGCAACAAAGCTGTAATAATAATGGCCACACTTATGCCATGATCACAAAAAGTAATCCGAGTTTTGAAAGCAAAATCGATCAAATACTTCAATATGTAGCATCATTAGATGCCCGTCTGAAACATTTAGAAATTGGCACCAAAAAAGCTATATCTAGATCGCAAAAATGACTGAAAACCTCAAAATTATGACTTGTAATTGTAATGGACTACTTAAACGTTATAACTGCCTGACGTTGAAGTTGAAGTATATAAGAAGACCTTGTGATTAAACTTGTTACCCCAAGAGAGGTTCAAAGGGAAATTAAAATGAAAATAAAACCCAAAAAATCTCCTGGGTACGATCTCATAACAGATGAAATTCTGAGAAATCTTCCTCGAAAAGCTATTATAAAACTAACAACACTTATCAATGCTGCTTTTAGTTTGAGATACGTACCGGAACTATATGAAGTGGCTGAGGTAATTATGATCTCTAAACCTGGGAAGCCTCCCCACGAAGCAACTTCCGACAGGCCCATACCCTTGTTACCGCTAATGTCAAAATTATTCGAAAAGCTCTTGTTAAGACGGCTGAAGTCTATCCTTGAAGCAAATAATCTACTACCTGACCACCAAGTTAGTTTCAGAGAACAACACTCTATCATAGAGCAAGCGCACTGAATCACTAATGCAATTGAAAATACTCTAGAAAACAAACAAGTGTGCTCTACTATATTTTTGGATGTTGTCCAAGCTTTTGATAAAGTTAGGCACAAAGGACTTATTTATAAACTTAAGTCTAGGCTGCCGAAATAGTTCGCGGAAATATTAGAGTCCTACATTGCTAACAGATTCTTTAGAGTGCAACAGAGGAAGCCTACTCTAAACTGAAGAAAATTGAAGCTGAAGTACCTCAAGGAATTGTGTTGGCCATATTCTTTACTTGTTATTCACTGCTGATATTCCAGACTTAGAAAACAGCAAAGGTGCTGTTTAGATAAGGAGCTACCTTCGTTGCTCACACAGCAATAATGGCTATTGGAAGCACTCACAATGAAGCAACAGTAAAGGTACAGCATTCTTTGAATATATTCTACGAAAGAACAAAAATATGGCGCATTAAGCTCAATGAAACAAAATCAGTACATATAGATCTTAGCCATAAGAAACCTATGTATCACCCGGTATTTGTCAACAACAAGCAGATACTATGTGCGAATACTGCCAAATATCTTGGCATGACACTTGACGTCAAGCTTCACTGGAAAGCCCACGTTAAGAAAAAAAGAGAAGAACTACACATTCGTCACTGAAACATGTACTGGTTGCTTGGCAGACAATCTACCTTATGTGTAAAGCAATAAACTATTATTATATAGACTGATCCTAATGTCAGTTTGGACCTATGGTATACAGCTCTGCGCTGCACTGCAAAGACCAACATAGATGTTATTCAATGTTTCCAGAATAAAGTACTTAGGAATATTGTCAACGCCCCTCGGTGCGCACGAAACGAAGATCTCTATCGAGACTTGGAAATGGAAATTGTAGACAATATAGTTACTGAAATAGGCCAAATCCCACCAACGCAGGCTTCACCATCATGTGAACGTCGAGGTCATTCAATTCCTTGACCACACAAATATCATAAGGTGATTAAAACGGACAAAACCATGTGAACTAGTGTAGTGTTAATGTAAGATTAAATTAATTAGTGCCAGTAACACTGAACACAAAGATTACACGATAAAAGTATTTTCGCCTTAATAGATGATAAGAAAATTGCCAGTAGGTGAATTCTTAGTATAATTTGTTTATGTGTTAGATTGAGTGAAATGTAAATTACTTATTAGTCTTGTATTTGGCTAGATTGTAATGTATTTATTATGTACTTTATTGGTGCCTTATTAATAAATGGAAAAGAAAATATTACTGTAAAGGTAAAAAGGCGCACTTTTTTGAAGCTATAATCAAAGGGAAATTGAGAACATTGGCTGTAAACAGAAATATGATCTCCTTATGTTGATTCTCTTTCAAAACACTTTGGCATTTTGATATATATATTATATTTCTGTCATGAATCATGAAAACTCCAATGATAATACTTACCAGTATCCAAGGAAAAAAATTTAATACGACGTGTTACTATTGAAACACGAATCTAGAATATAATGATCTCCATAACATGCTTTATTTACAGGTAATAAGGATGCTTTTCGTTATTATCCTCGAATTTTTCGTCTGCTGGACACCTCTTCATGTTATAAATACAGTAAGTACCCTTTATGTTCACTATAACGTTATAGAATAATAACGAATAGTTAAATTCAATCACGTTCTCAATCTATTGTACGTTGTAAATTTAAGTATTTGAATAATTTTTTAATTTCATTTTTAAGTATAAGTTTTTTGGAAAGATTGAAGTCTAAGGGAATTACCACACATTATTACCATGGAATTGCATTAACCATGTCAGAAACAGCTTTATGTCCCATACATTAAGAGTGAAAAAGTCATTGTGCGTTTCGTGTAAACTGTCCGAGCGGGAGCGAAACTATTATCCTTTGAATTTCATCATTTACTGATATGTGTGTTACATGAAAGGTTTGGGATACATACACCTATTTATTATGTTTATAAATTTTCTTATTTAAATACGCTTTTGCACATGTCTTTTGTGCAAAAGTTTTGTTTTTGTATATAAATAGGATGAGACCCCACGATTCAGGTTTGGTCTAGTGTGTTAATTTCTTTCACACCCTTTTCCCATCACGGTACTTTAAGCTTGGACGTAGCTCGTGTTGCGTAGCGAGAGGTACTTTTGTAAATATAAACAGGGATAATCTTCAAAAGTTGCTTTATTGTACTCTCTTAAATCCTATCTTCCTCACAACTGAAGGGGTGAACATCCCTAGCTGGTGCCCTACCTATGATAGGCAACTTACATAAGTGATCAGCCGTTACTATAGGCTAGCCACATACTGCTCGGAAGCCACTACCTTACCAACAAGTCAACCACCGAGGAGGCTATGGCTTTAGTCTGCCAAAAACCTATCTAAAAGGACAGACCATGACCACATCCTAATCAAACAATTCAAAATATAATTACTCGTCAGCTATCCTAGCTAATTAGGTAACCTGTCTAAATCCTAACTCTTTATTTCAGCTACCCTAGCCTGGCTGAATAATCCTAACAAATTTCTAAACATCACTACTAAAACTTCCTAACTGCTTCCCTAAACTATCTTCAACGTGCATGCTGCCACAACGACGACACAGGCTTGAGCATCCATCGGACGATCACTGGGTAACATCAATATTGATCTCCCAGCTGCCTCAGTCCTCATCCTGCAGCTATCAGCTTTTCTCACTTTCTTTAAACATCAAATTAAAAAAAATAAGAAAGAAGAAGTAAGTTATATCTATCCAATCCAAGTCGGTAGTCCATCTTCTCCTCCCGTCCTTCCAAGTCTGCATTTGCCGGAAAATAACAACTTCCCTCAAAATATTCCTCACAATGTCAGCGTGACTTGAATCGATAACGCCCATCTGGCTAGTCTCCCACTCATATCTCTCTTGCTTTTTAGCCATGCAAGTGCCCGATGATCTGTTACTACTTCTTTTAGACTACATGGAGGATTTATCTCCTTCATCGCCGCAACTTTCGTACTATCCGTAAGAAAGTTGCGGCGATCCGGTCCAATTCCCTCAGCCGACACTTCGTGTCCCAGAACTGTCACCTTCTTGTCCATCGCACTTTGAAACACCACTTGACTTGTTTTCAAGCCAAAAGATAACACATTGAACTCATATAGCCCGGTATGTGTAACAAAGGCAGTTTTTTCCTTCCCTTTTCCTAAACCTAACTGCCTAATAATCAGAGTTCACATCTAAATCTGCAAAATACTTTGCACCCTGTAAACAACTTAACAAAAGATCTACTCTCGGAATAGGGTATGAATCGTTTTTAATTTTTTTATTCAAGGCCCTATAATCAATGCAAAATCTCGGCGACCCTTCTGGTTTATCACCAAAACTACCGGTGAAGCATATGGACTTTTTGATTCCTGAATTATCCCCTATTTCAACATTTCTTCTACTTGTTCCTCAATAATTTGTCTCTGTTTAGAGGAGACACGATATGGCATTTTATGCACTGGTTCCTCATCAGAAGTATTGATTTCAACTAATAAGTGATTATAACACAATAGTTCGCCTGGTGCAATAGAGAACGTATCACGGAATTGTAGTAATAACCGATTCAATTCATCACGCCATTTCTCCGTCAGGAAGTCCTGTCCCAAAATAAGGAGCTCATCACCATCATCTACAACAAGCAGCTTTGATTGATATTTGTTTCCCTATTTACCAACGAAACATTGTTGGGCGCTTGTGCAATTATTCGCGTTCCACCAACTGTACGCAAATGAAAATTCGGCGTTTTTTCAATCTGCTAATGCAATTTATCTTATGTACGCTTTCCTTTTCCTTGTAGGCTTGCTTCCACTTTTTTACATATTTTCTGCCTCGGGTTACATCTCGAACTCTCAAGATGTTCTATTCTTTCTATTTCATTTTTTCAAACACATTCTAAATACAAAACTATATTCACTCATCCAGTAGTTCTACTCATACAATAGAGCCTAGACTACAGTACGTTGAAATCACAGCCTTCCACATCATCTTTTACCTCATCAGCATGCATGAATGATTCCATACACGCTCTTTTGTCAAGGGTATTGTTGACCTGGCCTTCCTTTAGACGCCTTTTTTATAGTATCAAGTGACGGGACGAACAAGTCGTGCGCCTGATGGTAAGCTACACGCCTGTCCATAACAGTTGTAGTATCACTCAAAGCTTTAAGTCGCAAAGATCTAAGGGGCACTGCCACTGCGCCCGTCACCCTGACACATAAGTTGACAAATCGCATGTAGTTGTAATTTCACCAGCACCCTTATCCTTCAAAACCGTAATGCAGACATTACCTACTGCTTAGTGGCAGAAATAGGTAAGGTGGCAGTACTTCCCTGGATGAACTGTTTCACAAGGAGCTCTACTGCTACAAATTTCAATCTGATCTCAATTTGATCGTGGTAAATTAGCCTTGGTCAGCCTAGGTCGTACTCAATGAGTCTGTTTTTCTATTTTAACAAAAGATTCTCACGTATGATTCGGATGAAAAAAAACACGTTATTTTACACGATATTTAGAAAAATCCTGAATCCTCAATGTTTCCAACAAAATTTTGTTTGCACTAGTTAGTGGATTTTGACAACAGTAAACTTAGAAGAAAAATATTTTACTACAAATGAAAAAACAATAGAGAGAACCGTACTTACAGGACAAAGGTGTTTTCGTCCCACTTCACAGAATAGACTTCTTGAAACAAAAGCCTTCTCCAACATGATTTTCTAACTATGTATGGTTTCTTTGAAGACAATAAATAACTATGGTAACATAACGACGATTATATTAAACAGAATGGGATATTGTGCATCAGTGCAATAAATTATGCGTGAAAGTCCATTTGTCGTCTGTCACGAAGGTGTAGAAGTAAACAAAGATATATTTTGTTGTATCCTGAGTTTAGTAGTGTAATACAGTACCTACATATTTTGTTAAAAGTTATTTAGGTCAATACTTGTGAAACTTCCCGTGATTCATTTGATTTCCTTTGTCTAGTATTACAGATTTTGTAAATATTTTTCTGAAACGCTTTGCGTTAACAGGATCATCTAAGTTAGAAAGTGAGTCCATTATTTACTTATTATAGCCTCTTCGGCTGTATAGGTACAATTAAAAAAACTCACAAACCTTATCCATTAACAATTCGCTCATCCTCATGTTTAAAGTAGCAAAAGCTTGTAAAAATGCTGTCACTGCTACTAGGGTTTGTAGCTGGTTTTTTTAACAGCATTGTTTAAACCGGTGTTCTATTGACAGCTTTAAATACATTATAAAATAAACTTTCCATTGCCAAAATACAACCGGCAACGTGTAAAATCACAAAACGCAAGACGATGGTTAGAAGGATTAAGAGGACGTGACCGGTTTTTTTTTTTGGCGATTTGTATAATGGATGTTGCCACTGTTGTGTCCGGATTTACAAGAGCCTCTCAAAGCTATAATACATCACCGTGTTTGTTTTCACGAACAACATGGTTAAAAGAGGTTTTAGGACGATGAAATAAAGCTCCAGTACAGAAGATACACAATGTAGATGTAGAATGCTATGGTGAACTGCCAAACTAGGGTCCCCTACATGATATGGCTTATCGATCACGACTACGTTTCGTCGATGCTCAGCTAGTCTCGTAAATGGTGAAATTCAGTAGTTTTTAAAATAGCGTTTAAGATTCAGAAGAACATATAAACATATGTTTGGGCAATTTGCGGTGTGTGGTTCGACGACAGCTGCGAACCATTGTTGAAAAAGCTAAACATGTTGCTTTTGCCGTGTACGTCAGGGATGTGTTTTTTGTTAAGACTCGTCTTCAAAATTTTAAAGCACGATGAAGTGGTTCAAAGGCAAACGAGAGCTAAAATTTTGAAACTATACCAACCTCTTTGTTATAAAGTAATTGATAAGATTAACTGCTTCAATACGTGCTATAATATTTTCAAAAAAAAAATCTAATGTTATTAAATTGTTACAAGGACATATTACTTTTACATTACAATTAACATAATGGCAAAAATATATAGAGTTTATAAATAGTAATTTACATTAATTTGAAATTTGTATTGAATTGTAGAAACCAAGCTTGAAATACCACTAATATGTAGTTGCCCAACTGTTTGCAGGTTAAATACAATGTGCGTTGTTGATTAAACTACCGGATTCACGTACTTAAACCATATTTTAGCTCGACATATTTCCAGTCAATCTGCCATAAGTTTCCGCAGCGACGATTCGACGAAAACTGCACGCCAAAGACCGGGCAGCCCGGTCACTCAGTATAGGTGCAGCACAGGCTGCGGAGAGGAACTACACTACTTTCTTCATTCTTGCATTATGACCGAAGACAATAATTATGATTATTAATAATAATCATTATTATGAAGAGAAGATAATTATGTAAGATTGCGTACTTACGTCACGTTTTAAAGACTTTAGACCAAAAATTCAAATTAAATTCGTGGGTTCTCCGGTAGTTTAGTTGACAAGTTTGAGGTTCAACGTTATTAAAATGTACCTCGTTTTACTTAAGGTCTGCATAATTACTGTATATGGAAAATAAACCTATTTTATTCGGAATGTTTTCTCATGAGTCTTCTTTTTGCAGATCTACTTGTTCTACCCTGAAGAACTGTACCAGTACATCGGTTCGAAAGGCATTGTCTCTCTCCAGCTGCTTGCATATTGCTCGTCCTGCTGCAATCCTATCACATACTGCTTCATGAACCGCAAATTCAGGCAGGCTTTCATCAGTCTTATCAAGGGTTGCAAGTTGTTCAGGTATGTTTATTTTTTGTCGATGGTTTACTATATAGCAGTAATTTTACTTATTAATATACAAATCTCTACTCGTGTAAAACGCGCTAATTCGATTTAATATAAGTTTTTTAAGCATTCATCATATGTGTGAAATGAAGCAGCTTTCAGTCACATCACAACTAATCTAACTGCTCTAGTTGTAGATAATTTTTGTATCGAATGATATAAATTAACTTTTCCCAAAAAATCGAATATACTTCTTGAGTAACTTCATATGAATTTGCTGACACGTACTTAATTTAGTATGTCGCATGTAAATTCTAAGTTCATAGAATTAGTGTTTCAATCGATTTATTTAAGACATTGAGCTTCTATCCATTGTGTGAGTCGTATTTATAGCTTTTGCTTTTTTTAAATTTGTCGTAATCTTCATACATAACTGTATCATATTACTGTAATTTTAATAATAGGTACATAACTATGAATTTAATTTGTTCGATACAAAGATACGGTCAGGCGTGACCAAATATCACTTTGACACATCACGTGACTGTTAAATATATTACTTTTGAAATCTTATGAAATCGATTTGAACGTATTTGTATACATTGTTGGTACTAAACAGCGTTAGTAAATACCAAGTTTCCAAACGTGAAAATTGTTGCAATTTGTATGTTCATGTACGAATTACATATTGAAATAGCTTTTATTCGATCCTGCTGAGAATGTAATTATTGGATAAACCACACCACTGAAATCTCTTTCAACGGAAAAATATCTCCTTCAACAACAGAATATATTATAACAAAAACTTCACAATCATTCAAAATTAGAACTCTTTCGAATCCACTTTTCTTAAAACACGACTTTCTGACTTAGACCGTTTTGCACTAAGATTACAGTAACATTCCATCGTTATTATTAAGCATACAAATACAATAAAGGCAATTGGCTGTGTTAATTGTCCAACAATATCGTGCCGGCTTGAGTATAAAATAGAGATCTCGTGTTATTGGGAAGTTATTCATTCGTAAGAAATTGTACTTGACGGTGAGCTAATATGACGCTAATAATTTGCTATACACTTTGCTTCTTTTTAACAATTGTAGCTTCGGCTACAACGGCCCAAGAAGTCAACGACAGATATTATCCGCGCTACCATTTAGCTCCACCATATGGATGGATGAACGACCCCAATGGTTTCAGTATCTACAAAAATGAATACCATTTGTTCTACCAATACAATCCAAATTCAAGTTTAACTCCTGGCATAGCCCACTGGGGGCATGCAAAGAGTGTGGATTTATTCCACTGGAAACATCTTCCTATTGCTATGTACCCAGACCAGCCTTACGATAAAACAGGAGTGTTTTCAGGAAGTGCTATCATAGAGGATGATACGATGTATTTGTTCTACACAGGAAATGTTAATCATCCTGATGAAAATCCCGACCACGAACAGCACCAGTGTCTTGCTACTAATGAAGAGCATTCGGATACGGCTTTTGTAAAATATTCTGAAAATCCAATTATTCAAGGGGCTGAACATCAGCCAAATTTCAGAGACCCAAAGGTATGGAAACATGAAGAAGCATATTACATGGTGCTGGGTAACTCTTTTCAAAATAATAGCCTCGGGCGGGTCCTTTTATACAAATCTACTGACAAAATAAAGTGGAATGAAGTGTCTGTTCTGCACGAGTCTAATGGGACTCTCGGTTACATGTGGGAATGTCCAGATTTCTTTGAGTTAAATGGTTATTATGTTCTCTTATTCTCCCCTCAGGGAGTTGTACCAGAAGGTGATAAATACAGAAACCTTTATCAAGTTGGATATTTTGTCGGTAAGTTTGATTATGAGACTTATAAATTTGTTCCACTTACTGAGTTTGTCGAACTGGATCACGGGAATGACTTTTACGCGACTCAGACGATTGAAAAAGCAAAGCGTAGAATATTGATAGCTTGGTTTGATATGTGGGAACAGAATTATCCAGAAGGACCAGATGGTTTTACCGGCTGTATGACAATACCAAGAGAGCTCACTTTAAATAAGAAACTTAAACTTATTCAGAAGCCGGTTTCTGAATTAAATCTAATAAAAGGTCGTGTGTTACGAGGAGGAAGAGGTAATAAGGGTGATTCAGTAACTCTACCAGATAAAGCTGGTGAAGTACTTATAGAAGCTCAAAGAGAAGACGATTTAGAGGTTCTGTTTGAGGGCGCAAACAGCACAGTCATTGTCACATATGATGTGTCAAACGAGACAATAACTCTTAATCGAGGTGGCAATGATGGCATTCGTCGCACTCAGTGGCGTCCGCGAGGAAAATTTACTTGGAAGATATATGTAGACGCTAGTACAATTGAATTGTTCACTGGTGATGGGGAAGTGACTTTTTCCACCCGATTCTTCCCTGATGGACCCATCACAGTCCGTTTAGGAAATAATTCAAAAACCCAAAAATTTAAGGTAACTGAAATTGGGCGCACTATTATAAATGCACAAACCACAAATAATTACAATATATAAAAACAATTCATGTTTTCTCTGTTTACGAGTAATCAAGATGTATCAAATGTAAAATAAATAATATGTATAAATATTGACCTGAATTCATCATTACTTTATGTTAACCTGTCCAAGCATTAGTTAGTAAGTACATATATACAATTAATAGTTATGAGTAAAATTCATCACGCAATATTTTGCAACCTCGTAAATTAACCTAATAAAATGTCATTATTCAATTTTATTCAAGCGAAACCTTATAACATCTTACAATCTAAGAATCGCTTAACATCATTACGAGTAGTTTTAATATCCGTACAAGTGAAATACCTGTAAATGGAAATAACAATGCCTACAGTGTAAGACTATTTTTCTTCCTATATTATGTGGTAAACCATTGTGAATATTTAGTAATGTAAGAATATGTAGTAATATTTCTTTAATTTATTTACTTATTGCAAATAAAAATCATATAAAACAATGTTTAGTGTATTAAC